GAGAAACGTCGGGTCTAGAACAACACCGCGCACGGAGGAAGAAACAGCACAGAACAAAGGAGAAGCACAAAGCACACTGCTACTCGGGCTTTCTGTGCACAAAGACAACACTGACAGCCTGTTGAGGATCAGTACCGTCTATACATGACATACAGTGGACAGACTCATTGTCATTCCAGCCGTATAGAGACGACAAAGGCAGCAATTCTGCCTGAATATGAAATTACAGCCGATACATTTGTGTCCATAAAGTTGATAAGGACAGTGTTTCAGGATAAGCTCGGAGCTAATGTACCCGTGCATGTCCCTGGACGCACGGTGAAAGATGGTTCTAGTCCCCGAAGAGAGAAGTTGCTCTGAATTGCCAGCTTTCACACAGGCAGGCAACAAAGATCCCCTGGTGCTGAAGCAAAGTTTCACCACCTGATGTTATCAGCAGGAGACAGCGCTCCATGCACTGCATCAGCTCTGCTCCTCTTTCTATTGTCCCTCACTTTCTACTGAAACACAGGAGGATTCTGCATCACCACAAATGTTCTTCTTGTTCAGAGCCTGGTGAAAACCAAAGGTTGCAGAAAATGACATTTAGGTTCCGTTCAGACTGCAGGTCTTGTTGCTCAATTCCAACTTTATTTTCTGGCTCTTCATCATCGTTGTTCCAATCCCATCAGACACAAGTGTGAACGGTCTGTGGCCCTGAAGTGACATGCAAAGTAAATTCAGTTTGTTTATCGATTTGGAAGTTGTCGTGTCATCAATGCCAGTCAATTTGATCACTTTTCCATCACCCAAAAGCTCAGAACTCCGGGATTGGAACCCAGCACTCCCGACTTTCCTGTCACCACCTCCAGTTTTTTGAGACTCTTGCAGCAGAGCAACACAACAGACCCACAATGCAATTTGAATTTTTATTAACACTTTACAGTTTTTCAACTTGGTAAAAAACATTTGAAAAAAAAAAGGCAATTATGACAAATTTGATTCTCAGTGTTTTTGCTAAATAACTTTTATCCTTCAATCATTTTTTTTTTCTTCAATCGAAATATCGATACGTGATGAAACATTAGCTGTGCGTAGCTAAGTGTGGAATTTGTTCAAATGCAGGAACCCGATCCACATAGAACCTGTGGAACCTGAGAGACCTTGGCAGAGGTTTGTGTTCTCTCTGGTTGGAGATGAGCTTTGACTTGCCTGGTGGCTGAGGTTGGTGACATTATCACACACTGGCATTTGATCCATTATGGCTGTGAAATATTGATCAGTGCAGCTGATGGACTTTAAACGTCTCTAAACGGGTGTTAGATCAGATCTGTGATGCGATATACGTAGATCCGTGAATTAAAGAACTGACCGTGTGGAGACACACGGGTTGATAGAACCCAGTGGCCTCTGAATCAGCAACAGTGAGTCATGGCATTTAATTAGTGATGCAATGGCATGAGAGCCAAAACACACACACACACACACACACACACACACATAATCCTTCCCTCATTAGGTGTATTGTGCAGATGCTGATGTAATGCAAGTTAATCTGTTGGCCTTTGCTTGGCTCGGTAGCCCAGTGGGAGTCCATTGTGTGGGACATTACCCTGGCCCCGCCCCCTGGAGACAGGTTCATTAAGACTGACGCTGATACCCAAGTGCCCCGGCCTTTTGTGTGTGCGTGGGTGTGTGCACAAGCCCTGAAACAGCGTGTTTCAGTCAGGGGCAGCAGAGACAATGCAGCGAAGAGCTCGGCCGTAAAGGCACTGCTTTCTGAGCATGTGTACCAGCGCACGTACACCAGGGAGCGAGTGGCGTGCAAAGTCTGTTTCCCGTGCGTGCGTGTGTGTGTGCGTGTGTGCGTGCGTCTTTATTAAAGCCATATCTGTGTATGCCCCACACCAGCGTGAATGTGGTGTGTTTTGTGTTTCTCCTTTTTTTGGACTCATCAAACAGTCCAGCCCATAAATTTTGAAGCGAGTGCCTTTATCTGATCTTACATAACACTGCTATCCCAACAGGACTGAACGGCAAATAGTTTGGAGATTAATAAGAGGCAGGATTTCACCCTGAAGTCAGAAAATAAACATTTCTTAACAAAAACATCTTCCTGCACCACTGCATTCTCCTGACACCAAATGAATCCAAATGTGTATATTTGTAGGTATTTATTTATATGCATATAACTGTATATATATTTATACATATATATATCTATAAGTCGTATATAGTATAAATGTATATGTATATATGTACACATACATACAGTATATATATGCGTACATATATAGATGTATATATATACATACGTATGTATAAGTAATATATAGTATAAATAAATGTACATATGTATGCATATATATATATACATATATATGCATACATACATATGCAAACAAAAAGATTAAAGCCTGAAGTCCAGTGAGGTCGATGGGTAGATTTCCACTGCCAGCCATTGTGCGTGTGTGTGACTGTGTCAGTCCATCTTCCTTCTGTATTATCCCATTCACAGTTGGATGTTTACATGTAATTCAAATGTCAGTCCATCTTCCTTCAGTTGGATGTTTACATGTAATTCAAATCATAAATCTTCCTCCGTCTAACTCAATAATCCAGTTTCCTGTGAAGAAATGTCAACATTCCGTTTTTTGTTGTATACACTTGATTGACATGTGATTGACATGTGATTGACATGTGATCAACGTGGGCAGCAGATGGTCGTCCGTGTGGAGAAACATCCATTTTTATAATGTAACAACATTAGATCATAGACTGAGATCATGATGAAGACCATATTAGCTTCATGAAAACCTGATGTTGAATCTGTAACCAGCTGTGGAGAAGTGTGGTCTCATAAACTGGTCCTGTGTAATGAGGTGGTGGAGATGAATGAAGTCAGGTGAGGCTGGTGAATGAAGTGAATCACTCTTTATAAAGTATGTTTGCCAAATGCTAAATATATATTTCATTAACTAGTGTTGGTGCAATTATGAAGGCAAATGAGAGGGAAAATGGCCGAGTGTTGGCCCTGGTCACCGTCGGCCTGCAGGCGGTGTCCCTCCGCCCACTGTATTAAAAATAGTGCAGGGTTTATTTGTGGGTCGCTGTGGTTTTTCGTGTGTGAGATGGAGTGTGTGTTTGCGCCCTTGTGCAGCAGTGGCGCTGCACTTAGCATCAGCCTAAAATAGCTAAGTCAAATAAAGTGAGAGGAGGCCGGGATCAGAGGCTGAGAAGGGACTCTGTCAGGACGGCATTCCCAAACGGAAGCCGGCCTTTGGATTTCCAAACACGAATTCAGTGCCAGCAATGTGAGGAATGTGATGTCGTCCAGGAGTTGGGGCTGTGTAAGCTGCCGGGGAGGGGGTATGAGGGGGGTCACTAGGTGCTGGGTCTAGTGCAGCAGGAAGTGCTAGTCCAGCTGGCCGTGGCAGGTGACACGGTGATTGAGCAGAGCTTCGGTGAATCTGGACAATCTGCCAGGCAGTGAAACAGAAGTCTCCTTCTCCTTCTCCTTCTCCTTATCCTTCTCCTTCTCCTTATCCTTCTCCTTCTCCTTATCCTTCTCCTTCTCCTTATCCTTCTCCTTCTCCTTATCCTTCTCCTTCTCCTTATCCTTCTCCTTCTCCTTATCCTTCTCCTTCTCCTTATCCTTCTCCTTCTCCTTATCCTTCTCCTTCTCCTTATCCTTCTCCTTCTCCTTATCCTTCTCCTTCTCCTTATCCTTCTCCTTCTCCTTATCCTTCTCCTTCTCCTTATCCTTCTCCTTCTCCTTATCCTTCTCCTTCTCCTTATCCTTCTCCTTCTCCTTATCCTTCTCCTTCTCCTTATCCTTCTCCTTCTCCTTATCCTTCTCCTTCTCCTTATCCTTCTCCTTCTCCTTATCCTTCTCCTTCTCCTTATCCTTCTCCTTCTCCTTATCCTTCTCCTTCTCCTTATCCTTCTCCTTCTCCTTATCCTTCTCCTTCTCCTTATCCTTCTCCTTCTCCTTATCCTTCTCCTTCTCCTTATCCTTCTCCTTCTCCTTATCCTTCTCCTTCTCCTTCTCCTTCTCTGTAACACTGTGTTCAATTTCTATTCTCTCTCATCCTTTTTACCTTTTGACGGCCTTCTTTGTCTGAGGCTGTGGGAAAGTTTTCCGTAATGGTGAGGTCATCCTCCACCGGCTAGGATACCCCCCCCCCCACATCATCCCACCGCTATCACCCCCCACACACACACACCCACATACACACACACACCATTTCTACGACCTCCTCCCTCACTCTCTCATGCTGTTCCTCTCATCCAAACCAGGCAGCGCTGCAGGACAGTGATGGCTGAAGTGTCCTCACGTCTCTGTCCCACTTCCAGTTCCACAACCTTCACTCTCTCTCTCTCTCTCTCTCTCTCTCTTGTTCTCTCTATCCCACTCCACAGAGACCAAGAACCTGAATAGAGACTCATTCAGGGCTTGTATCTGAAGATCTGGCCTCTAAAACCAGAGACTGAGCACAGACTAAGATCCGATGCTTCAGTAGAACATTCCGGCACCTGCTGATCTACAGCATCTGCCATTTACACCACCCTTGTCCTCCCTCTTTGTCTTACACAGGCTTGACAGTTTGCTGTAATATTCCATGATCGTCAACCTGCTTGATGTCAAATTAATATATTTTCCTTTATTTCTTCCTATTGAAGTCCACTGAACAGAAAGGTCAAAGTTTTTAAAAAATCAACAGCTTCTATTTATTGTTTCCCAAAACTCCTCCATTCTGTTCTTAGTCAACCTAAAGTGTCAACTAAAAACTAGCTGATTACTGCCATCTATTGGCAAACTGTTGCTTTAAAGATATATTTCTATTTGAACCACGGGTTTCTTCTTCTTGATTTCAGTCTTTCAGGTCCATGACCTCTGAAATGCCCCTGACCCTCTGCTTGTGTTTTCAAAATGATATTTTGTCACTTTTGTAATTGAAATAATCCAAGCTAGTAAACAAGGCAGCAGGGTGTAAAATGTGAATTCCATACAAGAAATCTACATAATTATTTCTGCCTTTAATCCAAACATACACTTTGTGTTAATATACAAAAATATATGTCATATACAGTATATCATTAGTGACGACACAGCCTTTTACACGTGGGTAAAAAGGGATAAATACTATGAGAAATATACAGACATAACACAATAAATCCATCACGAGTCCATGTGACCCACATCTCTGGCTTGGTCACGTGACATGAAAGGGTACAATACATCTGTGGTTTGCACAAAAATGACGAACAGGAACCTGATATACACAGTTCTACACAGATATTCTAGCGTGATATTAATACCATATGCAGTTTTCGTATTCTCCAGGTGTCATTGAAAAAAATATTTTATTTAATTGAAATATGTCAAATTCTAGTCTTTATAGCGGATCGTTTGTGTCTATACAGGTTTCATATATGTATATACAGTATATTTCATCAAATGGAAATGTGAGACTTTTGCAGAAATGTTTTGGCTCCCTCTAGTGTCAATGTTACATAATTGAACCTCAGATGAAGACCTCGGAGTAGGCCAACGGGGCACAGTGAAGAAATGTGCAGCGTCGTCGTCTTTGGTTCTCGACAAAACCGTGTCTTTGTTAATTAGATTAAAACTCCGTCACTTCCGTCCGTGAGATGAAGATTCAGTTTTTGACGTTGAGAGTCCTTTTCTCTCTTGCTATTTTTTTTCTATTTTTTATGTGACCCAATCATGACCTTTGAGACAAAGTTGACGATGGCGCTGGCTGGCTGCTCCGGGTCGTGCTCAGCGAACAGATGGCACATGTTTTCAGTCTCGCTCTGAGATTTTCTGGCTACGAACCCAAAAATCCTAAAGGAGACAAAATGCAACATATGGGCAAATACGAGGGGGTAAATATAAGACCTGCACCACACAGGTCTCACAAAATGTAAATGAATAAAGAATGAAAAACCAAACGTACTTTGCTGTGGATCCGCTGCCTCTTGTCCATCTGAACAGTTCGAAAAAAAAATCACAGCGAAAAAATCTTGTCAATATGGGATAATGAGATCATTATTTGCTAATGACACCTTTAATAATACCACCAGGAAATTCATTATTTTAAGAAGCAGAAATGTGCTGTTTTTCTTTAAAGGAACTTAAAGGAAGTGGTGTAGTACTTACTTCCTGCCCTGAGGGTCCAGAGAACAGAATATTACAGTGTTGACAGCGTAGTGTCTCCTGAAGAACAACCTGCAAAATCCAACAGAGACACAGCCTTAAAACCTGTGTGTGTGTGTGTGTATGTCTGCACAGGTTTAGGTGCGTGGTCACTCACTTCCTCTGGTTGTCGGTCAGTGTGATGCCCTGCGCTGACACTTTGAAGTGGACCACGGTGGAGGCAGGAGGTGGATCCATGGAGAGCGTGACTGTGGTGGCCTTCTGCACGGCCTGGTGTCCCGTCAGTGATTCCAACTCCACGGAGCCCAGGTACCACACGTTACAGGCTGCACGGCACATGTAAACATTTACAAAGTCGCATTAACACATGCAGTATATGGGCAGTATATGTGTGTGAACATGAACGTGTGTGTGTTGTACCTGCTCCCTGTTTGAGGAGTTCAGCTGCTGAGTTTGTAGCTGTTTGTGCAGAAGAGTCATTCATCTCCACCAGTGGGTCTGAAAACACACACACAGACAAGCATGAGTCACTGTCACTGAAATAAAAAAGCCTTTATTCCAGAAAAGCCCGACCACAGCCAGAACCTAATTCTAACTTTAAAGCCCCAACATCACAACAAGCCTTTGAAGCAGAGTAAAAGATGCAAATATTTCCCAACAAACAGTGTGTGAGTCACAGAACGTTATACCCTCGTTTACCTTTGTCGGGCAGGATGAGTTTACAGGGCAGAGCCAGTGGGGTGATGGAGTGCTGACACACCAGAGCAGTGAGGCTTCCTGTCAGGGAGAGAACAACAACAACAACATGTTTGTTTCACTAACAGACCAACCAGCAGACCAGCGCCACCTCTCACTGCTGCTAATTACAGCCCGATTCTGTCATTTGTGTTTGTTTTTGTAGAACTTTTGTTCAAATCCTTCCAATCCCTGAGTAGAAATCCATAAATTATGTTTAATAATAATAATAATTTGAACTTCATTGATCCCATATTTGGGAAATTCTTGTTCAGATCAGCTGCAACAGGCTGCAGTTCCTTTGGGAATCGAACCCAGGACTGCCTGCTCTCTGCTTCCGTGTCAGGCGTGTGAACTGCTACACTACAGAACCACAAAAGTGCCACCCAACTCGAACCCACGACCCTGAGATTAAGAGTCTCATGCTCTACCGACTGAGCTAGCCAGGGTGTGTATGGTTAATATCCAAGGCAACATTTCATTAAATTTTGCAAGTGTTTTTGGCTTAGATACAATATGTTCCTGACCTTTATATTTTGCTAAGTGTCAATCAGCACTATGTTGACCTTGCATTCATTTACTGAATTGAAGTCATATTTGTTTTTGTCCAGAATTGGATTTCTGGATACACACACACATATATATATATATATATATATATATATATATATATATTCACTCTGCAGGATTTGCAGAGTGCGATGTAGCTGCAATTTTGAGCTATTACCACTAGAGAGTGGCAGAGGAAATAAACTTTAAACATTAATCCTCACCAAAGTAGGGCTCGTTGGGACAGCCTTTCAGACGAACTCCTTTGGGGGTGCACTCAATCAGGAAGTGTCTCACCAGCTCATTGGACAAATCTCCAGCTGCAAGGACGCACAGGTTTAACATCAAGTTTAAACAGTGAAATATAAAAAACAGGATATCGCCCCAGACATACCTTTCTTACTCTGGTGAACCACAGAAGGAGGGGGCGTGGCCACCTTCATGGCCAATCCGTACGCTCCTCGGAATGAGTGACTGTCCCTGACAACGAAAGAGCCGGGCTCCTTATCTTTAAGCACGGTGATGGCTGCTCACGGCACCAACAGACAGACAAGACATGAAAAAAGTTAATAGTTAATTCCACACACCGCTGACTTAGAAGGTCCTGGTCCAGAACCAACATTTACCCTGGTCTCTGGAGATGTCCGGCTTGTACCAGAACTTGGACGTGTCCTGAACAAACTTCACAGTGTCCTGCTTGTTCACCGATTCTACAGGACACAGATTGGGGTTCAATGTTATGTTTAAGTCTGGACTTGGATCAAAATATGACACCACAGCTGAGAAAATACAAAGTTTATGTGAAGAACTCAACCACTGTGTGAAGATCATACCTGCTCCGGGGGACGATGCCCCACCAAGACCCCTCAGAGGATCGGAGGACATGGACGAGGAGAACGGGATGCTCACACTGCTCCCGCTGTGAGGACTGGAAAACCCACTGAGAGAAGGAGAACGGGAGCCAACCTCTCCCACCTCACCCCACCTCCTCTTCTCCGGCAGCAGTGGAGCGAGGCCTCCTTCTCCTCCGAGGTTCAGCTCCCCCAGGCCCTCCATGGCCTCCAGCAGGCTGTGGTCCAGCCCATTGTTCCCTAACAGTGAGGACAAGTCCGTGCTGTCTGTGGTCCTGCGTTCACCTGCACCGGCGTTCTTCAGAGCTCCTCGGGGAGAACTGTGGGCGTTCGGGGAGCTGAGGGAGAGAGGAGGTGACGGATGGGCACGGTAGGGAGAGTTGAGGGAGTTAGGAGTGCGGTCATGCCATACTGGTGGAGGAGTGGTACTGCAGGAGAAGGAAGACGAAGAGTTAACAAATTTTAGTTTATATTTTTTATATTTTTTTCTTTACAACACCTGTTTAGTTTATTTTAACTAGAAACAGGTTAAAGTGACTCTGAATAGTTAGCAACACGGCAGTTATAAGATTTGATGTGATAAATAATTCAACATCAATGTCACTTTCTTTGTTGACTATAGTTTATATGTTATAGCATAAGTATCAAACTCATGGCTCGGGGGCCCAATGTGGCCCGTCAAGTCATTTTGTGTGGCCCCCAGAAGCTTAAAAAGTGTATTTCTTTTTTATTACACACAATATGTACAATATATACAATATGTAAAATATCTTACAGCTACAACCAGCTTTTAAAGGGGAACTGTATTACTGATGTACCCCCCCCCCCCCCCCACCACCACCACCACCACTGTGGGGTGTGTGGTGAAAATGAGTTTGACACCCAGTTCTATAGGAACCAGGTGTGAGTAATCGTGTCGGTGTTTGGGTACCTGTCTGTGCTGGGGAGGGGACTTCCTGATGACACAGAGCGCATGGAACCAAAGACCCTCTGACAGGAAGCAGGATTGAGCGACAGGTCTGGTCTGAACCGGTCTCCCTCTGTGGAGCCGCCGCCACCGCTGTGGTTCATGGTCTCCAGGAAACTCCGGGCATCTGAGGGAGTCAAAGAAAAAGAAGATAAAGAAAGACGTGAGTGAACAGACTTTGACTTCATACAGTCATCACGTAAAAAAAAACCACAGCAGATGTTCTCCAGCTGGAGGCGCTCACTTCCATACTGTGTTACAACTCTGCTGGTAACTGCTACTGGTGTTGGCCTTAGTCGGGAACAAACATTTGGATTATAGATGCAGGACGGAGCAGCACAACTCCTCTGAAGTTAACCTTTGACCTTTTTTTAATGAAATCTCTAAAAAAAAAATAATTTAATTTAACCCCAATGTCAGAACTTCAAGGCTGTTCACAGCTGTTGCCTTAAACCACCTACTAACGGTCCTGACATCATCATCATCATCACAGTCCAGTCTGCTGTTCTGATGGTCGAATCTAAAGGTCCTGGAGTTGACCTGGAACATTTTACCACTGACACAGTGTCAACATTTTGAGTCCAGAGTAAATCTCTACAGACGGAGAGAGGCCAGTCAGTGGCCCCCGGGCCAGGAGTTTGACAGGACAAGCTCAATACAACAGCTGCCGCGGCAGGTATAGGTTGGTGCTGAGAATGTCTGGACAAGAAGAGCTGTGTGTGTGTGTGTGTGTGTGTGTGGTAGTGAGTGATGTTCAGGGGCGAGTGGGGGGGGGGGCATTTCAAACATGCCAACATGACATCCTGACATTCTAACAACACAGTGTGTCATTCAGGACTCCTCAGGCCTGTGAAGGACCATGAGTCATCGTTAAAAGGAGTCACTCATTATAAAGAGCTCCTTGTTTTTGGAAGCTGCCCCCACACACACCCTCATCCCACTGCACAGTCTGCCCCCCCACCAGCCTCCACCTATCCCTCTCTCTTCCCTCTATCCAAGCCCCTCAGAGAGAAGCCCTGCCCCAGACCGGGGATAAATTTAGTCCACCACTGAAGTGATGATGTCATCACATGTGTGTGTTGTTTGTAAACTGCAGTTGAAGCACTGTGCGCTACCAACGATGCATAGCAACACACACACACACAAACACACACAGTGAGAACGTAAGTCGACACCTGGACTTCATCTGAGGAGCTGTGGTTTCAAGAACTTCACTGTGAAAAAAGATTTTTTTAAATCTGAAGTTCAAGTGAAACCATATTAGCTCCGCCCACTTCATCGAAAATCCAACAAAAGAAAAGTAGTGGAGAAGTAGTTTCAAGTACATTGTAGTCAATAAAAGCATTTTTGTCACTTTTTCTGCCAAATACTTACTTTTTTAAAAACACATCCGTGTTTTAGCTTATGATAAAAAAATAAAATTCAGCATTATTTTTACTGATAAAAATAAAATAGAAATTCTGATATTTCAAATAAATTAAACTTGTCTGTATTCAAGGTACATGGTTCTAACTTATTATTTGTATGTATTGTATGCAGGTTATTCCGATCCTAACTCTTTATTATAAACGTCTCTGCTCTCAGGTCTGTTTCCTCTGACGCTGTACATCCAAGTTAAAGGCATATTTCTGCCATTACTGCATTACACAGGGAGGATCAGATGATGTCTGAGTGTGAAGCTCCTGGCAGCTGCTGTGAGCAGGAATCAGTGAAAGACAGTGAAAGCTGTGTTTTTGACGGGTGTCATGTGTTGGTTCAGCGTCGGTGCATAAATCTGGTTTTACAGTCTGGTCGAAAACTGGCAGAAATATTCAGGTGTCTGTACTCAAATATTTGAAGGTTTTTTACTTATATTCAGAATATTCAGAAATCAATATTTTCTCTCCATTTGTAGAATAACAAAATGTGAGTTCAGCTTACATAAAAGGCATTAGTGAAATAAATTCGCTCAAGGTTTAAAAGTTCCTACTAATTAATTTGTTGTGGAGAATTTAACACATTACGGAATTATTCCATAGCCCGCTGCGGTAGAACGTCATGCCAGGTAAGAGCCGTGCAGCTGAGGCTTTACTACAGACAACGTTTTTCATCAGGAAAAACTCCACTGCATACCACTAAACAAGAATCTCACAAAAAGTATATGCAGTGAAATATAATAATATTCTAGTTTATATTTACTAAAAATGTACTCCTGTTTAGTTGAAGACAACACTAATATACTGGCAGGAATTAAAAAAAGACAAAAATCTTCAACAGCTCTGATGATGTTGTTTTCATAGCCATCTGCTGCCACCACCAATTAATTGAAATTTGATAATTTTCCACGTCACACTTGTGTGCCAGATGTTTCACATTGGGGCTAAAAGGATGTTCAATCGTGTTTTATGTTCACATTCACCCCAGCAAACAAACAGTGAATATTTAAAATCAGCTCCATTAGATTGATGGTACTGGTACTGTGGAGTCAGGCTGAGCTAACACACAGCTCAGAGATGATCTCAGCCTGTTGTTGTTGTTGGTGGTGTTGTTGTTGATAAGAGGACACAAACCCAGGCCGTCAGGAATGCACTAAAGGCAGCGAGATTCCTCAAACATTCCCAAAGGCACCGTCAGTGTTCCTCTCCCTCAGCTCTTCCCAGAGAACTGTTCCCACGCTGGGTTCTCTCCTCACTGTGGTTCCTCACATCTGCTGCCGCTCACATCAGCCAGCTATAATTACAGAACAGGACAAACCGCTGACCCCTCCCTGACCCCCTGACCTGACCAGACCAGACCCTGGTCGTCATGTCACACCTTTCACCTCCCGTCTCTGTGCTGCACCATCGACATAGAAACCCATGCTTAACCCAACATATTTTAATGAAGAACCCTGCAACGATAGCTGAGGTCAGTGTGGAACAGATGTTTGAAGGTTACAGTCATCTCCACGGTCTACAGCAGTGATTATCAACTGGTGGCCCGTGGACCAATTAGGGGCAAAGTGTGCTTAAATATTTTTTTCAGTTCTTTTTAAAAACATTTTTAACAAATCCATCAGAAAAAAAGACAGCCATAAATTTGACTTTTTCTCTGTTTTATGAAAATGTCAACTTCATCCACCGCCCGTTTCTGTCTCCCTCGTCTTCGTTGCAGCTCTGACTGCAGACAAAGACTCTTCAGTTCAGGTCAATACCCAACAACCAGGTCCAGATGGCACCGGACCATGTGGGCACTGGTACCAACTCTCAGCTGCCAATACGACCCTCAGGGCAGCATCACTCAAACACACACTGTTCTCAGCAGTGGAAAACCAGTCGTACCTTCATGTTTGGTTTGTAGATAAATCCCTGTGAATAAAAAAAAACATTAGCCCCGCAGCGAGGTTCAGCGGCGCTAATATCTGCCCCCAGCTCAGACCACAGCGGAGTTCGGCGAAGCTTTACAGAATGAATGGCAGGAAAGAAAAACACACAGTGTGTGTGTCACATGTTGGACGCAGCTACAGAGCAGCAGTGTGTGATCCGACAAAGAAACACTTCTGTTTCTGCGTCACTTCTTTTTTATTCTTCGTCTCGCTCACCCACACGACCAAACATTTACTCGGCTGAAGCGAAGGATTCTAGAAACAATGAACACACCATGATGCACAAACAGGGAGGACAACAGTGGTTGAACAGACGCCCGCAGGACCGCAGGAATGTGACACACACTCACACACACAAACACACACACACACACACCCACACTGAGGCTGACATATCTGGACGTCCATGGCATCTCACAGCTGTTCAGAGCGCTCTCACACACACACACACACACAGCACCAGCCACACATGAACCCTGAGAAAAATAACAGGAACATAATGAGAGGAAAACACCTGCTGTCCTGGACACTCTGATTGAAGCCCAGACATTTGGGATTACCAGTTGAACGTACAGTATGTCTGAAGTCTGGGTTTCAATCCAGCCAATCAGGGCTGACCTGTTGCGGCAGTTATTACGGTTATTATAAATCATTGATCTCCTGGCTTACTGCCTGTATATATTTTTAAAATCTTCTTGGATTGACGTTTGGACTGGAATCCAGTTATGGGCCGGTTTGGATGGTCTGGAGGGTCGGATTTGACTCCCGAGCCGCCAGTTGCTAATCACTGAACAAGAATGACAGTAATGTCCACCAAAGAAAGTACTGCTTTCTCCTTAGAGTACCTTTGGCCCCGTTTGAGAATGTAATTACTTGTCAAGTCTGCCCCTCCCCTCCCCCTGTCCCCCCACACACACACACTTCTAACTTTTGTAGAAACAAATATCCATCATCCTCCGTCCCTGCTGTGGCCCCTGACCCTCGCCTTTGTCCCCTACCTCTGTCCACTGCTGGGGTTTGGAGTGATGTTTTTATGTAAACCACTGGAGAGAACAGGGGTAAAAAGTAAAAAGACCACGTCACCCCTGAAGTGTTTATTGGACCCTGAAGTGTTGTAAGGATAAATGAACGTCCTCATGAACTGCAGTCGCAGACACTGCTGTGGTTTCACTCACGGCAACCGCAGTGACAGACGATCTGTGCACGACCTGTGGCCTTTGATGATCGTTGCAGGATTCTGAAGGTTCCACGGTTGGTTTCAGTGATGTGGTGCATTCAAGGTGGGCTATGGTCAGTAACACAAAGGACAGTTTTGCCTCGAGGGTAAAAATGTATAAAATAAAAGTTATTTTAATGCTTTGAGGAATTCAGAATTTCACTGTGTTTTAAAACTGCAGTGAAAATCTTCAGACTACGTCCATCTGGAGAAGTGATGATGAATATTCCCTCTGCTGTTGGAACTTTTACACCACTGCTGCTGCTGCTGCTGCTGCTGTTTAATTCTCTTTCAATAAGATTCTGGTTCACAGCAGTGGGACAAAGGTTTCATTTCTACTCTTTTATAACTTTTTCTAGTCTGTCAGTTTCCAGGCAGGTTTGGGTCTGGCTTTGTTGAATCATTGGGTAAAAAAACATTGCTTTCTTTCCAGGAATCAGAACTGAGAATATGGAGAACGTTCTTGGTATGTTTACATTTCTCTTCCTGTAATGGAAACATTTTTTCACACTGACAACAACAGGCCGTTGACTCTGCTGACTGTGGTTGATTTTCTCTTCTGAGGAAT